CGCCATATCATTTTTCAAAATGGGTGTATCATTTTGCATTCCCACCAGCAGTGCATAAGAGTTCCGATCTCCCCACAGCCCCTCCAAGTTTTCTGAGGAAACGCCATATCATTTTCCAAAATGGTTGTATCATTTTGCATTCCCACCAGCAGTGCATAAGAGTTCCCATCTCCTAACTCAAGAGTTTTATAAATAATATTTGATGATTGAAACAAAAATTATAACACCATGTGATACTCAAGGCAATGATATTTTAAACTGGAGAAAGTAAATGGGCCAAAATGGAAGTGAGACTTATAACAGTAGATTGTTATAAGTTTCATGTGTATATTGTAACATCCAGAGCAACCACTATGAAAACTATACAGGGATATACTTAAAACATTTAAAAGTACTATGGATAAATCCAAATGGAATCATAAAAAAATGTTCAAGTTATCCACAGGAAGGCAAGAAAAGAAAAACAAGAAGAGCCAGATAAGGGAACTAGAAAAAAAAAAAGAGCAGAATAAACCCAAAGCAAGCAGAAGGAAGGAAATAATAAAGGTAAGAGTTGAAATCAATGGGATTGAAAAGAGGAAACTATAAAGAAAAATCAGTGAAACAAAAATCTATTTCTTTGAAAAAAAATTAGTAAAATCGATAAACCTCTAGCAAGCTGACAAAAAGAGATAAGACACATATGATCATATGAACTGATGCAGAAAAACCATTTGACAAAATCCAATACCCATTCATGATAAAAACTCTCAGCAAGTTAGGAGTAAGGGTGTATTCATTTCCTAGGGCTGCCATAACAAATTACCAAGAACTGGCTGACTTAATCTCCCACACACCTATCAGTTGGTCATACTGTGGGTGACTTAAAACAACAAAAATTCATTCTCTCATAGTTCTGGAGGCCAGAAAACTGGAGAAATATGAGTAAGATTGGTGGATTGTATCAATGTCGATGTCCTGGATGTGATACACTATAGTTTTACAAAAATGTTACCATGGGGGCAACTGGGCAAAGTGTACATGGGATCTGTCATATTTCTTAGAACTTCAAGTGCATCTACATTTATCTCAATAAAAATTTTAAAATTATTGACGGCCCTAAAGAGCTTTTTCTATGTGGATTATTTCTATTTATATTTACTGTATTAGAAATTAAAACTAAAAAACGAAACAGTTAAACACAAGAATATGCAAACACACATTCCATTAGCTACCTGTCATGTAGCTTCTGGAAGACTTCACTGTATACTCATGAGAGGATGAGAGTAAAAAAGAAAAACAACATCTTAGTATTATTATGAATATAATTGTGATCTTGCAGCCCCCAAAATGGTCTTAGGGATAGGGTGACCAACTCATCCTAGTTTGCCTGGGACTTTCCTGGACTTAGCACTGAAAGTTCTAGCAAAAACTGAAAGTCTCACACCCCTGAAACCCACTAACTCCTGGGCAAACTGAGGTGGCCGTTCACCATACTCGGGTACCTTTTTGGGTCCCCAGAAACACTTTGAGTATCTCTGTGTAAGGCATCCTTACACGGAAGAATTCCCAGTTTAGTATTATTACCTCACCATCGCATAAAATTTGAGTATCTTCACATTATAATTTGGTAGCCTCCCCAATTACTACCCCAATTGCTTGTTCAACTTTCCTATATGATTCATTTAACCTTCTTCTCCTCACATTGGATTCCTTAAATGAGATGTTGTTGAAAGTACTTTATAATAAAAAAGTGTCATCAGAATGTGTATATTATTGTTTTTGATGGTTATCTTTTCAGGTCAGGTTAGTGTGGTGCAAGTGACCATCCCAGACAGTGTGGTGAACGTGACTGTTGGATCTAATGCCACTCTCGTCTGCATCTACACCACCACTGTGACCTCCCTGGACAAGCTCGTCATCCAGTGGTCTTTCTTCCATAACAAGGAGTTGCAGCCAGTATCTGTAAGGACTCTTTTCTCAACCGTTTCCCTTTGGTAGTTCGGACTGAAAACTGTTGGGGTCAGTGCCTGAAGGAATAGTAAGCCAGTGACAACAATGGTACAACCTCAGATAAAAAGAGTTTAAAGAGAGCTGTTTAGGGAAGACAAATCATCGTAGTGACTTGGACTTTATTTTCTCTTCATAGTCAGTTATAGCCCATTATCTCAATTCTGTGTAAATCAACATCAAGTATACCATGCATTCTAGAGTAGACAAAAATGGGCCTCATACAAGAAATGAGCAGTAGCTCTGGAAGGGCTTTCCCCCCAGATATCTCCCTGACTATTATTTTCAGAAGACCCCAGTTCAAATGCCTGTCCTAATTGATCTACAGGTCTTTGTCAAACTGAATGTCAGGGATCTGCCTGTCAAGTGAGCTAGCTCTTTGGGCCAAACTGAGTCCTGGTGGAATGAGAATCCCCAGATGGATGGAGAAGGACCACGGCAGTGACAAACCCTGTGTAATGAAGGGCAGCATGAGGCTAGAGGCTAGAGGATAGGGTGGGTAGGCATAGCATCTGGGGGAGGAAGTTGCCAGAGGAGGGCGGGGGAAAGTCAGAAGAGGAGAATTATTCTACATACAAAGCTGCCTACTTCCCAGATTTTCTTCATCTGGCCTTGAGGGTAATTCCTTCTTTAAATTAGCCCAAGTACTCAAATTGTATGCTCAAAAGTGTGTGTGTGCGTGTGTGTGTGACACGTGTACCTGCGTGTCTGTACACGTTCTTTGAAATTAAAAAGAATCCATGACCCAAAACAGGGAGCTAAGCGAAGAGACAAATCAATGTGGTTTGGAATAGTTGAATGAAGTTGAGTTGGGCCTTGAAGGAAAGGAAGGGTTTTGTCTTCTAGAAAGATAGAGGGAGAGTGAGTTGAGTGGGCTGGGGAGACCCAGGAGCAGAGGTGGAGAAGAAGGAGAGTGTTAGCTTGGAGGAGCCACACCATAGCCAGTGTCACTTCACTGTGTTACTGGTTCTCTGGGGACACTGAGTCCTCTCTTTGCCAGAAGCCTTAAACATTCGTTTAGCAGGGAACACCGTGAAGGAGGAGATCCCATCAATACCACCAGCCTCTAGTCAAAGTTAAACAATTTTTCTCAGTACTGCTTATCTTGGACAAATATCTAACTCTCTCTGTGCCTCTCTTTAAAATATGGTAGGACAGTAATTCTCTCCCACATTTCTCAGGAGAATCAACTGACACAGTACATGTGAAAACACTTGGAAAAAATACTGTATAAAGCCAGCCCTCTACAGTTTCTCAGTTGTAAACACTGTTTATTATTATCATCATTATCCTCCTCCTCATCATCACCAATAGCAGCAGCATCAGTAATTCTACCTATTGCCATCACTCAAAATGCCCCGCCCCAAGACCTTGCATGTTGGAGTCAAGTAAGAAATCAACCCTTTTCTTTGTAGGTTGCTCTGTTAGATTGTGGATGGCGATACTCACACAATATTTCTTCTTTTTGAATTCAATTACCTGACTCGTTTTTCAGTCATCTTCATTATCTCTAGGTTTGAAGTACTCATTTTGCCAGTAGGGGCTGAATTTAGAGAGGCTTTGCCAATATATTTTGAGATTTTTGTTTGTGCTTGGTACTCAAATCAAGATGTCCTGAACCGCCTGGAGGCCAGGCCAGGCCAGGCTGAGTTAAAAAACACAAATATTTCCTTATGCCTCCTCTGATGCTGGAATGAATTAGACCCCCTCTTGGTTGAACTGTGTAGTTTGTGAGGAGCTGGGAGCTGCCGGGCCAAAGAATCTTGTGACCAGTGATGAACTTTTTCTAGATCTGGAGATGCAGATGAGGAAGGTGTAGGTGATTGAACTAAGTGTGGCTCAGGACATCTCTTAGAAGCACTTTAAAAAGAAAATCTATTAACAAATAAGTATTTATTGAGCAGCTTATTCAGTTTCCATTTGCCTTATTCTCCAAAATGTCAGGTCCAGGTGGGACAAGTAACTTAAGTATCTGCTCTTTTGGAATATCCAAATCAAAGGAGGCCCTTGGCACTGAGCTGCTGATCAGTGAGAACACGCTCCTTGATTTTAAAACATTCCAGATGCTCCTCCAAGTGCATGAGACCTGCATTATGCCTGTGTCTTGGCTGCTTAGAGGACAAGGTGAAGTAGGGCCAGCTCTTGGCTTGGGGACAGTGAAAACCACCCCCACAAAACTAAGCTCCTCCTCCTCCTCTTTTCCTGTCTTGCTTTAGCTCGCTCCAGCTGGATCCCCATTACAACATCTTTAGGTCTCTACTGCAAGAGAACTGGGGCTTCTCCCCCTCCCCCAACCCCGTACCTCGCAGGTCTGTGCTTCTCTGTGATTTGCCAGATGATTTGGAACCCCAGTGGAAACCTCCTGAGCTTTATTAGTTCTACTCCTTACTCTGCCTCTTACTGGCTTAGAAAAGTCAATCTTTCAGAGGTTCAGTTTTCTCATCTGTAAAATGGGGCTATTTACCCACCTGATAGCTTTACTGAAGCCCTGGTGGTACAGTGATGAAGAACTCAGCTGCTAACCAAAAGGTTGGCAGTTCAAATCTATCAGCTGCTCCTTGGAAACCCTATGTGGTGATTCTACTCTGTCCTGTAGAGTTGCTATGAGTCGGAATCTACTCAACAGCAATGGATTTGTTTGTTTTTTAATAGCTTTACTGTGAAGATTAAAAGAGATGATGCTTGTCAAGCACTTAGAAGCCTGTTACATAGTAAGCATTCAGTGAATGTGAGCTATTATTATTATTAGCATCACTACTCACAAAATGATGATTTTGCACAATCCCTATCCCATCCATACCCCTGGTGTACCAGAGAGACTGGGTCATGGGCACTGGAGAACCCAGTCCTACAGAGTACACTTAGTGTAGCTGAACCACTTTTGAGGGACATCTTAGCCCCCCATTCCCTTCTTACATGAGCCTGCAGCTAAAAAGACATGCCAGGCCCTTTCTCTGCCTGGTCCTCATCCTGTGTAGAGCCCCCGAACAGACATCCTTGGTTGAGATGGCATTTTTCAAAATGGAAATTTGTCTCCATTTCTAGTTTGTTTCCTGTTGGAGCACTTCCATGCATTCAAACTTCTGCAGAGCACATTGTATGTTAATCCTAGGGAATGCTAGTAGGATGTTTTGGGGGATACTAGAAAGAGACTGCTGTGCTATGAGACAATTCTATGATTTATGGAAGTAAGATGTTGCCACACTGACCACTGAGTAATTTAGTTCAACTCCTGGTTTGATGTGGCAATATACCATATGGCATTCGGCTCTCAGATCCGCCCATTTCTGCTCAAACACAGCACAGCCCGTGCCTCAATACTGAGGGTTTGGAGGAAAAGGCAGTCAGTCAGTGTCTAGACATGGCGCATGCAAGAGACGCTCGGGGAAGATGTAGCTGGACTTCTCAGGTAAGAATCCCTATTGGTGTACTACTAGATCCCTACTGGTGTACTACTACAGTCTCTAAGACAGTGGCACAAGATGTAGAGGTGGGATGGGAAGGTCTGGGTTTGGTAACAATCCAGATCAGGATAAACCCTTGGCAAAACTGGAACCGTAGTGAGTTTGCCTTCTCACACCCACGTCTGGAACTCTTTTCAGCCTCCTTCAAAAGGTTCAGGACCCTAATTCTGCCCTGAGCAAGGCAGTGGCCAGCTCCTGCCATAGCTCATCTTCTTCTCCTTCCCAAAATCATTGTGTTAAGCAGAAACGGACTCCAAGGCCTGATTTTTCTCAATACCTAGAGGAGGATGTTATCTCTTACTGACAATCCCAGCCAAGGGAGTCCTTTGGTGAATGAAGACTGGGAGACCATAGAATTTTCCTGCAAGTCTCATAACCAGGGTGGGGGCAGGGCATTCATTAGCATGATCTTCCTCTCAGAGGAGTCATCATCCCAGAAAACAACAACAGCTTCAGATGGTCAGTCCTTCAGCAAGACCCTTAGCTGAAAACTCTAGGTTCCAGGACAGGCAGGCTAGCATGGAAGTTTTGGGTGGGTCTGGTGTCCCTCTGGTCCCACTGGTGGCCTCCAGTTGCACTCAGCCTGTCGCTGGTCAAACCACAGAGACCTTACCTGCCTATTGATAGAACAGGCATTGGCCCTGCTTAGCATGGGTCTCTTGGACGATACTTACTCTTCTAGGACATCCATAGTGGAAGAAGCCCTCTGCTATTGTCATCTCCCCAACACACACATAGCTTGAACAACTTCTTTCCCAGGACCTAGTTGGCCTCATGTTTTCTGGCTGTTCAGGTTCCCACCCTGGCTTGTCCTCTAGGGTAGCATTATATCAAATGCTTTTCAAATGAGGGAGGGGAGGTGCCACCTCCTTGGGGACATTTGAAATTGTGGGGAGGGGTGTTGGTTTGATTGTTATGACTGGGAGTCACTACTGGCATTTAGTGGGTGGTGACTACACATGCTAAGGAGCCCTGGTGGTGCAGTGGTTAAGTGCTTGGTTGCTAACCGAAAGGTCAGCAGTTCAAACCCACCAGCCACTCTCCAGAAGAAAGATGCGGTAGTCTGCTTCCATAAAGATGACAGCCTTGGAAACCCTATAGAGCAGTTCTACTCTGTCCTATAGGGTCACTATGAGTCAGAATCAACTCGATGGCAAGGGGCATGGGCTACACATGCTAAAGGTACTGCAATACGTAGGACAGAACCACGCAATGAAGAATTGTCTATCCAAAATGTCAGTATCACCCTCATTGAGAAGCATGCCAAGATCTTCCCTTCCCATCCTCCTCCCATCAAAGTTTATCTATACTGTGTCCCATTCACTCAGATGTCTACTCCTGCTGAATCTGATACATTAATCTCATGCTAAGGTGTGAGGGACAGGTGATAGTTTATTTTGTTCACTTTTAAAGAAATACATTTAAGCAGGGACTTTCTATACCATCACCCAAAGTAGTAACTCAAATGGTGGATATCTTAGGCCAATGGCAAGCTGATAAGAGAGTGGTTTGCAGGCAGGAGAGTCTTCCTTTTGGTGTTCTATTCCTTCCATGTGCAATCCCAGCCCCTCTAGTTCAGTCAGGAGAAAATTCTGAGCTTAAGACAATTGCCACCCTGCACCACCACCCCCCAGTACACACATGGCTAGCCTCCCTCATGAGTGGTACAGGAAAGCAAGAAGCTAGAAGGGAAAGATTGGATGGTGTTCTGTGGCCTTCCATGCCCTCTACATTCCCAAAAGGAACCTGGAAAATTAGCTCTGGAGTCTAAAGGCACTTAGTAATTCTGACTCAGGCTCAAACAGAAAGCAGACTTAATTCTTTCAATCCTTCTTGTTTATACTCCAACTTTCTAGTTAGACAGCGGTGTCACAAAACTGAGGAAAGATCTTTTGGGGCAAATCTGGCTTCCAGCTGCACGGCCTCATGTGAATAGGAGCTTGGCACAGTACAAGGGGAAAGGCTGCTATACAGAGAACCAAGTGGCCTGCAACTGCAGCTGGCAAACATTGAGGGCATCAAGTGCTGGACTTACTCAACATGGGAATCAACATGCCAATTGGCAGGAGAAAGGCCAGACTGGAATGGGGGGTGGAATGGCCCCAAAGGAGGAAGTTTGCCTCGGGATCATATTCCTCGCCTAAGGCAGGAATATGAATAGAATCTTAATGTATTCTATGGGAATCAGGAGGTCTGGATTCTAGGTCTGACTGTAAATTTCTTGTATGACCTTGGGAAAATCACTTCCTTTATTGAGGCCTGTTTCCTTTTCTGTAATAGAAGAGAATGAATCAGAGGCTTCAAACTGGAGGCCTCTGAGCCAGATTTGGCCAGTAGATGTGTTTGGGTTGGTCAACCCAGTATTTTGTTGGTTTGTCTGAACACTTTGAATGCCTTGTTCTCATTGGCTCTCCAGTTCACCACAGTCCCGACCCTCCCCTCTGATCTCACTATCCACCAGCCCCTCTCAGCCATTTTCCGTATTTTCAATATCCATCTGGCTCTTGAAGACTCTTTAACCTTAGAAACCATGAACTAAGTGATCTCTCAGGAGGTCATATAACTAATGTGCTATTATGCCTCATCAGCCTCTAATGTCATCAAAGGGGCGGACAGAGAGGACCTTGGGGAAAAGAAGGGCAGTCTGCCATGAACACAGCCACAAAGGGCAAGTGGATAAAAAATTAACAAGCACCACCTAAGGGAACACTTGGATGGATTTTCTTAAAGCATGGACGCCGCCCCCCCCCCAAAGGATGTGGCCTGTTGAACATTTATGACTTTTCCTGGTCCTCAATTGCTTTGATCATTAAAATTAACAATGTTCTTTCTTTTAAAATTGTACAGGCCACACAGGATCATGGACCCAGCCTTGGCCATGGTTCTGCTTTGATTTTTAAACAAGTTATTCTTTTGTGGAAAATGGAACCAAGTCGCAGTCTTTTCTGTGTGATTAGATAAGCAGTTTCAGGGGAAACATTTTTGTTTTATTTATTTTTTTCTTTGTAAGGACAGTGTGACAGTGTGAACTTCCCCTAACAGAAAGCCCCTCCATCTATGTGTGTGACCTCTGCCTAGCCCTGGGAACTTTCCTTCTTACACAGCACCCTGAGGCCAAGGTCTTTCCCTTCTAGGTCTCCAATGTCATTCTTCCTCACCCCCATTCCTATCCCTGGTATCATATATATGAGAGAGCAAAAATTAGACTACAGTGTGTAAGAGCTAAGGTGGTGAAGGTTCTTTTTATAGGTAAGTTACAAGTCCAGAGCCTCCTTGTTTATTTGCTCATTTCACCTTGATTCATGCCTAACTACAAGACTTTCCCAGTGACCTCATTCCATGTCCTAGTCATAGCCTAAAACACACTCTGTTGGCCCCCTGAGCTCCACAGAAACAAGGTCTTTTGGACCCCCTGGGACTTACTGTCGGCCTTAGGCAGGACTGGGTGCCATGTCTCCTTGTGATGTCATCAAGCATGAACACAACCTGAGCTGCCCTCTCCCCAGTCTTACTGAGAGCAGGGGAAGTGGCTAGATGTTCAGGTTTTGAAGGGCTTTTCAGACGGACATCAGTCTGTTTTCCAGGCAAGAGTCAACAGGATCTCAAGCTTTCCGTTAGTAAATAAGCGAGGTACTGAGCAGTGAAATTGAAAGCTGGATTTTGTGGGTGTCAACTCAAATGAAGGTGATAGATCTTTAAGGAGTTGTACCTCCTCCTGTCCTATTCATATACCTTGAGTTAATAATACTGGCTTTCAGGTTAGTTAAGTCAAACAAGATCCCTCCAGGGCAAAAGTTTATGGTTTCAATAAGTGTGAACAGATGAATTATAAATGGGTGCCTTAGGGCAAGAAAGCAAGCAAGTTGATGTTAGAAAAAGCAGAGGAAAGAAACAAGTTGTTTTCTCCTTAAATATACTCTTTTCTTTGAGTTTTCCCTTAAAATCTACCTTTCTGCCTTAGTTTAAAAATGGCTTGACTTTCTGCTTGAAGGAGGATACATTTTAACTCATCTAGACACTGTATTTTGGTTTTCTGATTGCCTTTCCTCTTTCATTGGTCTAGTGAAGGAAAGAACACTGGACAAGTCCAGGAATTAGGAGAACTTGGGTCTAGAACTTTTAATTTTGTAAAGTGAGAGGAGTGAATTAAATGAACCTTAAGTTTCCTCTAATAGATTTTATGACAATGTTAATTAGATCTGCTGGACTAGGACAATACCAGTTTATTGACTAATAAACAATAATCACTTGAATTACACACATTTATATGAAACTAACAAAGTGTGTATATAGAGTATGTGCATCATGAAAGGACCTCCAGGATTACCTAGTTCAGTGATTCCCAAGCTTCTGTCATTTATGTATCATCTTCATGATTTTTTGTCATAATTGTGTATCACTTTCACTATTAATTACTTAATGTTCTCTAAATTGAATACCTTGAGTTAATAACTTGCTTTCGGGTTTGTTACATCAAACAAGATCTATCTGGGGAAAAAGTTTGTGGTTTTAAACTTGCCCTAGTCCAGTGGATCTAACTAATATTTTCATAAAATCTACTAGAGAGACCTTGGTTTTTTTAAATTGTAAAAATATCTACCTTAGTCTCACCCTTAGCAATAATATCCATGGAGTCACAGATTTGATATGCTAGATATGTCTCTTTCTAAAATTTTCATTTATGTACCCTTAAAATCAATTTGTGTCCTCATACTCGGGGAATGCATATTCATACTTTAGAGAACATTGCTCTGGTTCCTCACGTTCAGATGTGGAAATCAAAGGTTGCAGAGATTAAATAACTTGTTTCTTGTCACAAAGCAGGTTGCTATGGAGACATGACTAGAGGTTACCTCCCCTGACTGTGTCACAGTTAGTCAGAGGCAGAGCTGTGGCTAAAATCCAGATCATCTGACTCCTAGGCCAGGGCTCTTTCCACCACACCATGCTGCTGCCACAGTTGCCATTATGATCTAAGTATCCATGTTCTTTAATGGAGATGGAACTAGAATTCATATCTTTCTTAAGTCCAGTAAGTTAAAATAATAATAAATGAATTCCTATGGCTTTGGACAAGTCATTTAATCTCTCTGGGTCTGAGAGTTTTCTTATGTATCTAAATGATATAATAATTCCAGTTCTGACTCCTGCCACGTGGGGAGAAAATAGTAGCTACCACTGAGTAAGCATTTATTAGGTGGTGCAAATGGCTGCTAATCAAAAGATTAGAGGTTTGAGTCTACCCAGAGGCACCTCAGAAGAAAGGTCTGGCAGTCTATTTCCGAAAAATAAGCCATCGAAAACCCTGTGGAGCACAGTTCTTCTCTGACACACATGGGGTCTCCATGAGTTGGAAATGACTCAATGGCAACTGGTTTTTTCTTTTTCTTTCATTTTTTTACTAAATTACTTTGTTTCATACTCACAACACAACTATAAGTAAATGGGACCAGATAATTTTTCAGGGATCTTCTCTTAAATGTTACTCTTCTAACAAACAGAACGAACCCAAGTTTGCTTATCCAAGGAAATGTGTGTGTATGAAAGGAGAATAAGCATTCTAACTTTTAGGGAAACCAGATAGTCCAGATAGTCCCAGATAATCTCAAATCAAGTTTATAAAGTAGTAAAAAAAAAGAGGGAAGGGCTTTGGTTTTCCCATTAGGCATTTGTGTCTTATACAATGAGTTTCCTCCAGATAAATTCATCAGGTGAGCATATTGATCCTCTAGTCTAAGGTTAGGAGTTGAATTCAGTCAGCTCTAGCTGTCTGCTCATCTGTAAGACAGGCATAACCATCCTTGCCCCATGACATCACAGAGCTACTGTGAGGCACAAATGAGGTAATGACAGTGAGCAGCTGTGAGAAAACTAAAGGGCCCCACTGAGTTGAGAAATCTCTGCCACAAGGACCTGCTTCCTGTGGGAAAAAAAAATGCTGCTTCTTATCAAAGAAGGTAAAGTTGGATAGAGGGAGCTTCCAGGTAGCTTATCCTAGCCCTGGGTATTCTTGAATTCTCATTTCATGCAACTGTCTGTTATTTTTTCTGTCCTAGATTTACTACTCTGAAGGTGGACAAGCTGCAGCCATTGGGCGATTTAAAAATCGAATTGTAGGGTCTTCCCAACCAGGTAATGCATCTATCACCATTTCTAATATGCAGCCAGCAGATACCGGGATTTACATCTGTGATGTCAACAACCCCCCAGACTTTGCTGGCAAAAACCAAGGCATCCTCAACGTCAGTGTGTTAGGTATGGACAACTTTTTCTGCCTTTTTCTCTTCTTGGATGGAGTAACTTAGGACACTGAATGAGCCAGGGCAGTGAGTTATGGTGCCAGTTCAGTCCCTGAGGTAAATATCCTCCCTGCTCCTTTTATTATCAGGGAAATAGGGACATACCACCAGCCCAACCCATATCCAGACGCCAAGAAATCACTTATAAAACATATTGAAAAAATTGCCAAACCAAAAGGGCTGCCAAAATGATAGATAGCAGTAGATGACCAGGAATCCAGGGATCTCTATCTCGGAAGGATGGAATGAGAGCAGATGGGACAGCCTATAGTCTCACTAAATGATTACTAACCACTCTTTCAGAGGAAACTTCCATTTAGATCCAGTCCTACCTGAGGGACAACCGTCAACTTTGTGTAATTTAAGAGATAAGAAAAGGGCCTTCATCCACCTCACCCCACTCCACCCTCCACCAAATACCTCTCCTAAGCCTGCCAAATCCCCACCATTAAATTATTCTTTTGAATAAAGGCAGGAGGCTCCTTTTTAAAAATGCTAATGCTATTTGGAAAAAGGACTACACTTTAAGGCAGTGTTGATGATTCATTTATTTATATGCACATATTCAATATGTGACCTTGGGTAAGTCATACCCCCTCTTAAAATGAATTTGGAGCTGTTCATTTATTCAACCAATATTTATTGAGTGCCTACTTTGTGCCAGGAGCTATGAGGTTTACAGTGATGGAAAGATGTGCTTGCTGCCCTTAGGGAGCTCAAAATTTCAGCAATTTTCAAGGCTCGTTCCAACCTCTGGCTGTGAGAGAGCAATGGAAGCTTAGTTCCTGTCTCCAAGCACTGAAGGGGTGGGTGAAAGAGCTGCCAATCCTCAGCGACTAACCAATTGAGCTAAAAGTTACCCCACTTCTAAACCAAACAAAACCAAACTAGTTGCCATTGAGTGGTTCTGACTCGTGGCAACTCCATGTGTTGTAGAACTGCATGCCATAGAGTTTTTAAGGAAAAAAACCAGATTGCCAGGCCTTTGTTCTGAGTCTCCTCTGGGAGGGTTTGAACCACCAACTATTCAATTAGCAATCCCATGCTTAACCGCTTGCACCACTCAGGAACTCCTGCCCAGGGACTTCCACTTCTAAGTAGCCCAAAATGGAGCAGGTCTAGTCATTGTTTCTCTTGTATACATTACAGGAAAGCAGGAATTAGATCAAAACAGCAATTGAGTAGCTTGAAAAAGCAATTGTTAACAAGGTACACACCTGGGAGAACTGTCCAGAGTTGTCTTGACTTACCATCCAGGTAAGGCCAAAAATGAACCAGCTGACATTGACTATGAGGTTTGCCACTGCATCTACCTTCTTGAAAAAGAGGGAAAGGTATCCAAAAGTTAATTTTTTAAAGACTGAGGTAGCTCAATCGATCCTGTTTTTAATCTGCTGGTCGCTGTGCTAAGTAAGCATTGAGGTACAAGGGACGAAGACAAGAGAAGTATACACAAGCCCTTTCTTGGAGTAGTTTATGTTCCAGTTGGGAAGACTAGTCACGCATATGGGAACCAACTAGCGTGGTAGAATGCCAAAGCACCAAGCTGGGAGTTGGAAGATCTGAGTTCTAGCGCTTATTCTGCTACCTTAGGCAAGTCAGTCTTTCTCTGGCCGTTGTGAGATGAGGTTGTAATTCCTGCCCTGTCTTACTTACAGGTTTGTTATGAGGATCAAATGCGCTACTGATTAAAGGGTTTCTAAATGTTCAAAGAAATTGAGGGATTAGTCTAATGCTTTTCTATTTTTCCCTGGCTCTGGGGTGTTCTTCTGACTAGGAACAACCTAAATAGGCCAAGCCTCTTTATTGCAGGGCTTGGAAATAATCTTGAGATAGATAGGCAAGAAGGCTAATGTTCTTAAATTTAAAGTTGAGAGGATCCCAATCAACTGCCATAAGAAGCTGAAGGTCATTTCCTCTCCTAGCTGTTCTTCCTCATGAGTCTTTGGGTCAGGTTGTTACTGTCATCGCTGTCATGGCTTTTTCTTAAGCATCCGGGACCCAGGCAAGGTAAGAGGCAGAAAGAGTCTACGGATTTCCTTTTTGTCTGAGAGCTCTCAAAAATTCTATTTTTATTCATTGCAATTGCGCTAAGAACAAAAAAAAAAAATCTACAAATTTAGGGTTTTGGGGGGAAAAGTTCGAGGCTGCTAATTTTGTCTAAAACTGGCAGAGACTGCAGTTCTCAAATCCCATTGCGCATGAGTGCTCATTCTGTTTGCCCTAACTGGGGGCTGGGGCATGGTGGAGTGAGTAGGTAAAGGAGGCCAATGGTGGGGGAAGGTGTTGCTATTTCCTTAAAGATGGCTCTTCCTGGCAATGTATCTTTCAGAGGCATTTCATTACCTGGTGATAACTGATCCCATGCATTCGTTTATGTATGGATTCATTCAACAAACCCTGAACACGTGTGCCAGTTGCTGTGCTAGGCAATGGAGATGGAAAGATAGGGTCCCAGCCTTCCCAATGTTCAGAGTTAGTGAAGGAAGCAGATACATAACATGAAAGCTTACAGTAGAGGCAGGAGAGGAGACCTATGAGAGCACAGGGGAAAGCTGTCCAAGTGGAACTGGACAACAGTTATGGGAGAAAGTGACTTTTGCACTGAATGTTGCAAGATGTGCATGAGTGTGTCAGGCAGAAGAGGGGCTGAGGTGTCAGGGCACAATTTAAGTGAAAGAAACAACAGTAATGAACAAAGGCAGCAATGAACAAAAGACCAGGTGGTTCGGATGACCATTCATTTGAGAGATTTCCATTAGGTATGGCAACCTTGGAAAATTAATATCTGAAAATTTCCAAGATAGAAGTTTGAATCATTATTTTGTGTGCATTTGGGGTGAGCATCACCTTCCTTCTACAATTTGGCACATAAAAAGAAAAGGACTAATTTAGAGAAGGTTTGAGAACACACTGAAGCATTTTCATTTATTTTCTGAGGCGAGGCTTTTCCTCCTAACCCAATTCTGTTGAAAGCAATAAAGCTAAATGGTAGGATCAGTGGCTTTGCCAGTAAAATGTCCAAGTTCTACTAGGAATTTTAACTGAATGAAATGTCAATTCAATCCTGACTCAGTAGTTTTAGAAAATGTATAGGTTTGGGATGTGGTTCAAAGTGATTCGCTAAGTGTTTTGTTAATAAAAAATAAAAGGAAAAAGGGGGAAAAATTGTTTAGTATAATAAGTGCCTGAGTTTGATTCTGGACTCAAGAAATAAGTGCAAGTCATTCCAGGTTTTTGTCCATAATTTAGTTCAGGTCCTAGTGTCTGACTTTGTGATGAGACGGCCCCACTTAGTTTTCTGTTTAAATTGGTGCATTTTGCTGTAAAGGCTATAAAATTTCCATCTTAAGCAATTTCAGAGGGGAACAAAATGGCAATATCTAAATCTAGTGATGGTTGCAATGGACTTGTGGCTAAACTTCCTAGTTTAGGGTCAGCAAATCCGACAAGTTGCTCCCATCTGACAAAAATCAATGGTAAGGAACAAAAAATAAAGAGTTGAGTGGAAAAATACTTCTTTTAATTAAAAGATGCCTATTTAAAAGATACGGACAGTGAAGTGTTTCCATGAAAGAGCTACAGCTATAGCCATCTCTCTTCTCACTCATATGTACAGGGGTTCGGTTAGAGTCTGAAATGGCTGAGTAGAGCAGAAACCAATAGAAGATTAATTTTAGTGGCAGACTATAAAATGCGGCAGCAGGCATTAGTCCTACCCACGGCCAACAGCAATTCCACGTGCAAGGCATTGTATATATTATTTTATTTAGTCTTTGGATCAGCTGGAAGTTAGATAATCTCTTGTTCACATTTTACAGACTCACCTCAGCTGAGGCTTGGTTGAGATCAGAGCAGTAACTTGCCTAAAGACATGTAGGGTGAAAGTTGCAGAGCCAGTCAGTATTCTGTGTGGACCCAGAGTTGTGCTCTTAACTACTGCATCCCAAGTAAGCGCTGGAGAGCTGAGCAGTATGGAGGCATTTAAGGTCTAACTAGCCAAAGTTAGAGAACCTAAGCCTTGGGAGGGTTTTATATCTAAATTAAGATAAGGAGAGTGAGTTGGAAAGTGTAGAAATTCAGATCATTATCTGAAGCTGTGACAAGTAAGATGAGTGAGGAGGTTCAGATTCCCAGCTTCCTACTCCCGTCTCCACTGAAGTGTTTCATAAGCAGCTTGTTATTGTGTGCTGTGGAGTCGATTCCGACTCATAGCGACCCTATGTGATGGAGTAGAACTGCCTTTAAGGGAGCAGGTGGCCAGGTCTTTCTCTCGTGGAACCACGGGTGAGTTCAAATCACCTACCTTTTGGTTAGCAGCTGAGTGCTTAACCATTGCGCCACCAGGGGTCCTCATAAGCAGCTAAAACTCAGTATGGCCCAAACTGATCACAGCATCATCCCGTCCTCCTTCTCACCCTTTTCCCTAAAACCTGCTCTTCTTCTGTGTTCTCTTTCTCTGAATGACAAAACCATGTACCCAGCTCCCCAAATCAGATACCTGGGAATCATCATTAGCCCTACCCTCTCCCTCATCCCCCATATCCAGGTGGTCACCTAGGCTTGTTGATTCTACTTCCTTAATACCTCTTGAATCTGTCTCCTCCTCTCTCTTGGTTCAGGCACCCCCAGACTCAGAGCAATCCATCTAAAACCTTAAAATGACCATCATCACTCTCCTACTTAAAATCCTTCCATGGCTACCATCTGCTCTCGGTATAAAAGCAAAGCTTTTCAACTGGAAATACTGGGAATCTGAATCTCCTCACTAATTTTACTTTTCACTGCTTATTCTAACCTTAATCTTAAAAGGTCCTCCAAGATATGGCCTCTGCTGCTCTTTAGCCTCATCTCTCATCACTTTCTCCACCCTACTTCAGAACTGTGTTAAAGCAACTTTTGAATTCCTTGTGCCTAGTCCAGTACCAGGGGTCCTGGTGGTGCAGTGGTTAAGAGCTTGGCTACTAACCAAAAGGTCGGCAGTTTGAATCCACCAGCTGCTCCTTGGAAACTCTATGGGGCAGTTCTACTCTGTCCTATAGGGTCGCTATGAGTTGGAATTGACTCAACGGCAGTGGGTTAGTCCAAGGAGCCCTGGTGGCACAGTGGTTAACCACTTGGCTGCTAACTGAAGAGTAGGTGGTTTGAACCTACCAGCTGCCCTGAGGGAAAAATATGTGGCAGTCTGATCCCATAAAGATTACTGCCTTGGAAACCCTATGGGGCAGTTCTCTTTGAGGCACCGGGTTTTTGGTTTAGTCTAGTGCTGGGCACACAGAAGGCACTCAGTAAATGCTCGTTGAGTGAAGAATGAATCAAGATTTCATCACTGTCTAGCACACTCGCCCAAAATGGGCTTTCCCTGTCAATAAGGGACATAGGCAAATTCAAACCCTCCTGTCATTTTGTGTCTCCCACAGATGAATGAAGTTTCACGAAAATGATTCATAAAGGAAAAGAGAAAAAATAAAGCATTAATAAGATATTTTTCAAAAAATAACAAGTCCTCTTAATGTATTAAGGGTTCTAGTTTCCTTTGAAATTGTGCTTTAAAAGTATGAACTATGTTCATAGTCATTTAGTGTTTGTTTATGTTTGGCTGTTTTAATAAAGGCATATTTTAAGATACAATGAGAAAAGTCACGGTTATGAATCTGGAGAGGAGGCAGACAGAGGAAACACTCTTTGAATCTTAATGGCCTTGTGACTAGAAGCTTCTTGCTCTTGAAGTGCTTTACTCCCACCTGGTGGTATAACCAGAAACTTGTCAAAATAAGTTTTTATAGATTTTTAAAATAAACACACATTCTGCAAACAAAATAAGGAAGTGACTGTAATTGTCGCAGACTGCCATTCATCCCGCAGGGTTTTCACTCTTTGTCATTGCCTTACAGTCAAACCTTCTAAGCCCCTTTGTAGCATTCAAGGAATACCAGAAACGGGTCATCCTGTTTCTCTCTCTTGCCTCTCTGTGATTGGAACACCTGCCCCTGTGTACTACTGGTATAAACTCGAGGGAAAAAACATCATTCCAGTGAAAGAAAGCTTCAGTAAGTATAACCTTCAGCAGCCCCTCGCAAGCATGAGTGTGCTATTTTCCTTGGGATGGTGTAAAAATATGTCTCCCACTAATTGTGGTCTGGTCTCCCCTCCAACTTCTAGAAGGTAGCTCGTTTTTGGTTCAGAGATGGTGTGGGTATGGAAGAAATAGGTATGGCCCCAAATGGGCTACATTGAGAACTGTCCTGAGGGGTCTAATTGGACCCTGGACTTGTGAGGCCAATGTGGGGAAGTGGGTGGGCACTGAATGATCTCCTACACGGACATGACCTGTACTCACATAAGAGATTTGAAGTCTATTTCCTGCTTTGACAGACCCAACCACCGGGATTTTGGTTATTGGAAATCTGACAAATTTTGAAAAAGGTTATTACCAATGCACAGCTATCAACAACCTTGGTAATGGTTCCTGCGAAATTGACCTAACAACGTCGCGTGAGTTGATTATACAGCTTTAACAGTTTCTCCTTAAGTCAAGTATCCTGGGCCTCTTAGCTAGTCCTTCCTGCCCCTCTGGGAAATTTTTTGTGTTTTATTTCTAGGGTGATAACATGAATGATCATCGTAATAATATCTAATGCTCACATAATATATGGGCCACACACTGTCCTAAATTCTTTATAAAAACGAATTCATTTAAGCCTCCCCAAATCTCTAGAAGGTAGTTATTATTATTATTCAATAAATAAAACAAAAGCCTCATTGATAGTGCCCACTGAATTTCTCTTTGTGATTCTGTTGCTAAATCCAGGTGAAACTGTAGCTATCTATGTCAAACACGTAGTTCACAAATTTCGCTAGTTATTAACTAATTGGTTAAGATTTGCCTCTAATAATAATAGCAATAATAACACCCTCACCCATAATCACAGTAGCTATTATTTGTGGAGCACAAAATATGTGCCAGGCACTCTGCCAGGTGCTGAGTGAGCATTCTCACACTTAATCTCCACAACCACTCTATCTAGGAGGTAGAATATATTGTTAGCCTCATTTGACTGTGAAAAGGAAATGGAAGCTCAGGGAGGTAAGTGACTTGTCCACGGTCATCCAGAGCCTGGATGCCTCTAAACTTCAATTTTCCTGTTGAAAGGTGCCTAATTACTCTCTGGAGTCCCTGTAGAGCAAACGGTTAAGCGCTCAATTACTAACAAAAAGGTTGGCAGTTTGAATGCGCCCAGAGGTGCCTCAGAAGACGGGCCTGGTGATCTGCTTCCAAAAGATCACAGCCTTGAGAACCCTATGGAGCACAGTTGACTCCATGGCAACTGGTTTTAATTATTAAGCATAATACTTAAGGGCCCCAGAACGGTCAAATTGGGCCAATCCAGGGGCAAGTCTTCAAAATGGATGTCTCACCAAACCTCTCAAGGATCACATAATAACACTTAGGATCTTGTCATCTATTCATTTTACTAGCTTACTTTGAATCTGTGGTATTAATATACAGGCAGTCCCTGGGTTACAAATGTCCAACTAATGGACAACTCCTACTTGCCCTTTAATGTTATGTAAATTTGCCCTCACTTTGAAATGATTGAGGCAACTACCCTATTCGCAACAAATTCTTCATCACAATCACCTTCACTTCCTGCACATGCAGTTTTGAATCATTGAAAAGCCTTCGAGCCTTTTCTTGCACTAAAGTAAGACTAAATAAGAACAGTATGCACCTGTTCCGACTTACCTATAAATTCTTAAAGACACACTCAGGAATGGATCTCGTTTGTAACCCGGGGACTCCTTGTATCCAGGAGTGGCAAGTTCTGTTGGATTATTGCTCTTCCTCTGTGTGAGGGGTGTGGTGTAAGGGAGCTAAATCTTCAACTTCCAGAGTAGGAAGTCAATAGAAAATGTCTAAAGTTGAAAAAGGCAAGACATATCAGAACAAGCATAATAGTTAGAAATATGGAGGCAAGTACCAGAAGATACAGCTAAGAGAATTAAAGACGGTTGCCTCTCGTGAATGGGACTCACAGATGGAGAGCAGCGGGGCAAGGGATTGCCGTTTTTTATCATAAGCCTGGTAAAATGACTTAATTCTTCCAATTATTTGCATGTGTTCCTTTAATCAAAAAATTAAAGGAATTATCAGGCAAGTCAACTAGCCTTTTGTCTCAAAATATAAAATATCCAACCCTGCTTGAGGAGAGGCAGATGGAGATGGGTACCCTTATAACTCAGACAAGGAATGGTCTCTCAGGGACAGCATCTCGGTGCTCGAAGGCCTGGTGCTCAGCTGGACCATCTCGCACTCATTACGTTTTTCCATAGACTGATGTAATGAACCAGATGCCTGTTTATTGAAATGGGCAGATCCCTTTTCTATGGTCAGAATGCACGAGGCTACTTGGTGCATTCCATGAGCATGGAATCTGGCAGAGGAGGTTTTTAAGGATCTATTTCACCTATGTTCTGGGAAAGCTTGGTGAAATGTCCCTGCCTGTAACAGAGATCAAGGAGCCCTGGTGATGCAGTGGTTAAGAGCTCAGCTGCTAACCCAAAAGTCGGTCGTTCGAACCCACCAGCCGCTCCATGGAAGTCTGCTTCCATAAAGATTTACAGCCTTGGAAACCCTTTGGGGGCAGTTCTACTCTGTCCTATAGGGTCGCTATGAGTCGGAATCAACTCGACGGCAACGTTTTTTTTCCTTTCTTTAAATAACAGAAGTCATTTCTCTGGTGACCAGATTGCAACCCCATGGTGTCTCTCTCACTGACCAAGCAAATGCACATGGAACATTCACTTCTAGAAATCTCATTTTGAAAGTAACCCAGTCTCCCTGCAGTTGGTATATTTTTTATTTAGGTGTGTAAATATCGATGATTAACTTACACAATCGAGCCAGTCATCTTTCTTCTCCCACTCTGAGTCCAACTGGCATAGTTCTAAGAGTCTCCATTCTCCCAGCCTATACAAGTCACTTCCCCACTGTGTGAATGGCCCAAATATTCCCCACTAGTCACCCATGCATATGTATGAGGCAGACATTATGGTCCACTTTACTAATTAGCTGCTTGTGTCCTCCATCCAGATCCAGAAGTTGGAATCATTGTTGGGGCCTTGGTGGGTAGCCTTGCAGGTGCTGCCATTATCATCTCTGCTGTGTGTTTTGCAAGGAACAAGGCAAAGGCAAAGGAGAGGAAGAGAAATTCTAAAACCACCACCACAGAGCTGGAGTAAGACCTTACTTTGTTGTCTTGACTTGGATACAAACATTTCTCAGGCATGGCTCTTTCAGTCCACTCTTCCTAAGCACTCCTTTTAGCATAAGATGTCAGAGATTATCTTCCTGCTCACTCTCACTGCTTTTAGAAAAAGAATGATTACAACTATCAGTTACTGAGTGCCACGTGCCACACCCTGTTCTAAGTACTTTATGTATCTTTAACCCTCACAACAACCCTATGAGGTAGGTACTGTTTTTAGCCTCATTTTAGAGATGAGGAGAGAAGCCCTGGTGGCGCAGTGGTTAAAGTGTTCGGCTGCTAAACAAAAGATTGGCAGTGGTTGGAACCCACCACCCGCTCACTAGGAGGAAGATGTGGCAGTCTGCTTCCATAAAGATTACAGCCTTGGAAACCCTATGGGGCAGTTCTACCTTTTCCTATAGAGTCGCTAAGAGTTGGAAGCAACTCGACAGCAGTCGGTTTGGTTAGAGATGAGGAAATAGACATTCAGAGAGGTTAAGTGACTTCACAAGGTCACACAACGAGTAAGCAGAGCTGGTATTTGATTTGGGGTTGGACGGGAGCCATCAGGAAAGGCCTTACTTGTTGGGCAACTCAGAACCAGGTAGGACAGGCTAGCATCTCCTGCAGAGTGAGCCCTGGGCCAGAGTGCAGAGGGGCTGGCCTTTGTCTTCCAGATAGGCATTCAGTGCCCTCATGCTGCTCCTCAGCTACCAGAGGTCTGTCTGTGTGGCACCTCCCATTCCCTCAGGGCTCTACCTTCCACTTCCAAAGTGAAAGCCAGTTACCTGAGAGATCAACTAATATCAGTAATAAGGACTAATTAATGTCAGTAATAAGAGATTAACATTCATCGAGGGCTTGCTCTGTGCTAAGTACTTTGCGCATATTATCTCATTTAATCCTAGGAGGTGGGTATCATCATAGGTGAGGAACCTGAGGCATAGAGAGGTTAACTAAAATTCACTTAGTGCGACCCAAACCCAGATCTATGTCCAATGGCCGTATATTTAATCACTATAGTGGTGTCGTGGTTAAGAGTTCAGCTGTTAACCAAAAGGTTGGCAGTTCGAATCTACCAGCTGCTCCTTGGAAACCCTATAGGGCAGTTCTGCTCTGTCCTATTGGGTCGCTATGAGTCAAAATTGACTCGACGGCAACGGGCTTTGGTTTTTTTATACCCCTCAGTTCTTGGGAATCTTGGAGGTGCTGGGTTTACATAGTAAGGTATGTCTTCTTGAGCTGGTTTTTAGAATCACCTCTGACTTCTATTGGCTAGCTATGAGATCTTAGGCTCATTGAGTCTGTTTTTCAACTTACAAGCAGGGATAATTTGTCCTCACCTTCCTTAAAGGCACTTATACTTCCTCAAAGTAGATTATGAATATGAAAGCATTGGGCTAATTACTGTCACAGGGACATTATAGTGTCAGAGACTCTTCAGACCAGGAAGGATGCTGATCTGGAACCCTTTTGTGTAGCATCACGAATGCTCCACCTCTTGGGCTCAATAGAATTGTCTTTGAACCAATCCAACCTATATGGCATTCTTCCTCTTTGGAAATGGAGGTTGGTGGGGGAATGGGATGAAGTGTTGTGCTTTTTCTTAAGCCAATAATAATAACAGTAAAAATCCTAATTGGTACCACCTTCCAAGGAAAAGAAAGAAGAAACAAACAGCACCAGTAGTCTAAAGGGTGAGAGGCAAGCCAATGAGGGTGAGATGTGCGGGTGGGACAGCCTCTGGGACACTCTTCTGTCCCATATCACTTTGGTGGCTACTTATTGTACCTATGAAGAAGCTTGCTTCACTGTGTACATCTGATGGCAGTCATCTTCCCAAGTTGTAGCAGTGAGAATAGCTACATGTGGATAGAGGCCAAGGGCCTGGGAAAATCTATTCTCCGTGGCACTTTCACCCTTTTAGAATCACCTCTGACTTTTATTTCACCACATGGGATTTGACTGGGAATGCAGACAAGAATTGTTTTAGTAGTTTAGTAGTACTTAATCCGTTCTGGAAAGATAGTGTTCTGTTTCCTAAAAAAACTTAACCTCCTTCGGTGACAGATTCTGGCATTTCAGAACTCTTAAGATATGAGGTTCTTCCTGAAGGGTAGTCTCAACTTTTCCTGCTTTCTTAGCTGTAAAATATGCTTGGTACATAGTGGTGCCCAGTAAACACTTGTTTACTTAAGCTGAGATGTTATTAAATTAATAATAATAACCAAAAAACCCAAAACCAAACCCACTGCCATCGAGTCAATTCGGACTCATGGCTACCTTGCAGGACAGAGTAGAACTGCCCCATAGGGTTTCCAAGGCTGTAAATCTTTACGAAAGCAAACTGCCACTTTTCTCTCATGGAGCAGCTGGTGAATTCGAACTGCTGACCTTTTGATAGTAACAGCCATCATTTATTGTGCACCAGGCACTATGTTGGGTACTATTAAGATGCCATTTCATACTATCCTCATAACAATCCCAAAAAAGGTCAGTACTTGTATCCTCATGTTACAGAAGAGGAAACTGAGGCTCAGAGAGGTGAAGCAATTTGTCAAAAGTCACATAGGATAGTAAGTAAAGAAAGTGAGAGTCAAAACCCTCATTGTCTGACCCCACATCCAGGGCTGACTTATGGATTAGGCAGGAGAGGCAGTGCCTGAGCCCCACAATACTTTTTAGGGGCTCATGAAAATATTTTCTTTTAAAATCAGAAGAAAAAAATAAACTTTTAGGTGGAATAAAATGCTTTAATATATAATTATTAATATATAATATATAATATTACTATCTAGTCATCTTTATACCAGAACCAAAAACACCCAAACCCACTGCCATCGAGCTGATTCCAACTCATAGCAACCCTGTAGGACAGAGTAGAACTGCCCCATAGGGTTTCCAAGGCTGTAAATTTTTATGGAAGCTGACTGCCACCTCTTTCTCCCGCAGAGTGGCTGGTAGTTTTGAACTACTGACCTTTTGGTTAGCAGCTGAGTGTTTTAACCACTGTGCCACCAGAGCTCCTTCTTGATACCAACAGTCATAAAATATAATTTGTAATATTTTTTTATGGAGGAAGGGGCCTACGAAGGCAAAAGTATCTAGGGCCCACAGAAGTCAGCTCATGCCCTTAACCACTATGCTATTTTTTTCTCTAGTGTATATCACACTTGTTCATTTGTTCATCCCTCCTTCCTTTCCTTGCTTCCTCAACTATTTACTAGGCATGTTTATGAGGATGGTGCAGGGCTGGACAGTGTTTCATTCTGTTGTACATCGGGTCACAATAAGTCAGAACTGACTCGACAGTACCTAACAACAACAACCATGCACCAAGTATTGTGCTAGATAGAGTGAGAGAGAGAGAGGCAGCAAAACCATGGTTTTGACCCTCAAAGTCCTTATTATATCCTTAGACCCTTTCATCTTGATATCGGTTTTCCCACCCTTGAAACACTGGTCTGTCCCTCTTGAACTCTCATTATATTGATGAGATCTAACCTTCCTGAACCCAAAATGGAGACACGTGGTCTGCCAGTGGGTCACAGTATTTGAAACCACAGATGTCCTGAACAGTTCTAGGACCTATGGGCATTGAAGCCACAGAGCCCGTGGCTCTATGTGCAGAAACTTGAAAGTTAGCATTTTCCTAACTTGCTCTTCCCTGGCCTTTCTTCCTGCAGACCAATGACAAAGGTAAACCAAAGTACAGAGTACACGGCAATGCCACCTGAAGAAGCCATCCAAGTAGAAGCAACTCAGCCACCTTCCACCCTTGAGACTGACCCTGCTACTATCCTGGAGCCAGACCATGAGCCTGACCCCGAGCTGGAGCCTGCCTCGGAGTCTGCCCTGGAGCCTGATTCAGGGCCTGAGCCTCTGCCAGTCCCTGAGCATGAGATCGAGCTTGAGCTGGTGCCGGAGCTGGAGCCGGAGCCGGAGCCAGAGCCAGAACCTGGGGTTGCAGTTGAGCCCCTCTGTGATGAGGAGGAGGGAGCGGTTAAGACATAGGCTCGTGGCCTAAGATAATAGTGTTCATTGCTAAGGAACCCACAACTGGTGTTTGGAATTCAGTTGACATAAGCAACCCCCCACCACCTCCCACCATTCTAAACAACCTCGTCTAACTGTGTACTCACAGGCTCCAAATAAGTGGGTCAAGATAACTACTAAATAAATTCAAGGGTTCCTGCATTATCAGTATACTGTACTTATAATTTTACTAACATGTAAGCATAACAAATGACAAGACAGCGAGTAATTTCTAACTCAGTTAACAAGGGTTTTGCAACAGCATTTACAACACATTTCAAAGTCTTACTTCTCCATTTTTAGCTACTCTCTCTTCATTATGTTCCATGTGCACACATGACAAGGTGGCATTAAACAGATTCAATCATGTTTCTAGGGTTAGTTGTCAGGGTTTCCCTATTCATTTTTATACTGATCACTAAGAAAAGAATTCACCAGCATCATCTCATAGATTGGAAAAAAAATTCTTCAAAATTTCCAGTGGAGAATAAGGAAAGGATACATATTAATTGGTAAATAGCATTTAAAACCAGGTCTTAAAATTAATGCTTAATTTGTCATATTAGATTTCTCAAGGAAACACTTGTTATCTGGTATCTGAGCATAGCAAATTTTAAAAAATAATCCAATTTTTAAATGCAAAATAATGTACAGGCAAACGATTCCAAGTAACATTTTCCTTCAGTGACTACAAAACGTTGATATCATAGGTGATGTACAATTAACTTTGAACGAGCTATTATGTTATCACTGTATCTGATACTATCTGCTTTGGAAGGACCAGACCAGGAAACTGTTCTAAACGGACACTTCAGATTTATTTTAGATAATCCCAACAAACTGTTTAAATAATCTGTTTCACTATTGATGTGTTCCACATTAATAAAGTATTATCCTTGTATAAACGCTAAATGAACTAAAATGCATTGATATCACCTCTTCTTTACCTATTAAAAGATTTTTTTTATTGATCATATTTTCCCCAGACTCCATCTTGGAGAAATTTACAGGTAGACTTTTTCATTTGTGTAATCAATCATATTTTAAGGCTCAATAAATAATACTCAATAAAATCTTAATGAATCCTAACTTGAATCCTTTTATAAACAACTTTATTGAGGGGTAACTTATGTACAAGAAACTGCATCCATTTCAAAAGTACAACTTGATGAGTTTCAACAGCTGTATGCACCCTTGAAACCACAACAATCTAGATACAGAACATTTCCATGATTCCAAAACGTTCCCTTGCGCCCCTTTGCGCAGTCAATCCCACCATCACCCTGGACCTAGGCAACCACTGACCTGCTTTCCATCACTAGAGAGTACTAGCTTTGCCTTTTTTTTTTTTTTTTT